CTTCTGACTCCAGATGGCGGGATGGCGGGCGAGTTGCGACATGCGACGGGAGCATAGACCACCTTGGTGGTTGATGTACGCAACGGTCGCCTGTACGGACGTACGGACCAGTACATGCTTGTCATGCAGCAGCGATTTGAAACGGCGCAGAGCGAGCCATACTGCTTGCAACTCGAGGCAGTTGATATGCCACTGTAGTCGGGGCCCCGACCAGAGCCCCGCAGCTGCATTCCCATTGCATATGGCACCCCAGCCCCTGGTGGAGGCATCTGTTGACACAACAACATGCCTGGATACTTGCCCTAGGGACACCCCCGTCCGAAGAAAGGCAGGATCTGACCACGGGCTGAAGGTCTGATGGCCGGGGGCGGACTGGGGTGACTGAAACCCGGTATGTGCCGTGTCGCCATGCCCATCTCGGGACCCGGTCGTGAAGCCAACGCTGAAGCGGTCTCATATGAAGCAACCCGAGCAGCGTGACAGCGGCTGCGGATGCCATATGCCCCAGGAGCCTCTGAAACTGTTTCAGTGGAACCGCCGTCTTGCGCTGGAAGGACCCCAGGCATTTCAGCATCGACTGGGCACGCTCTACTGAGAGACGTGCTGAGAGGTTGACCGAGTCCAGCTCCATGCCGAGAAAAGAGATCCTCTGCACCGGGGAGAGTTTGCTCTTTTCCCAGTTGACCCGAAGCCCCAACCGGCTGAGGTGACTGAGCACCGTATCCCGGTGTTCGCACAATTGCGCTCGGGACTGGGCCAATATGAGCCAGTTGTCGAGATAATTGAGAATGCGAATGCCCGCCTCCCTCAGTGGAACGAGGGCTGCCTCCACAACCTTGGTGAAGACACGAGGCGACAGGGATAGCCCGAAGGACCTTGTACTGATACGCTCGCCCTTCGAACGCAAAGCGGAGAAACGGTCTGTGTCGAGAGAGAGCCGAGACATGAAAGTACGCATCCTAGAGGTCGATCGCTGCGAACCAATCGAAAGGACGGACGCATTGAAAGATGCGTTTCTGCGTCAACATCCTGAACGGGAGCTTGTGAAGGGCCCGGTTCAGTACGCGCAGGTCCAGGATCGGTCGTAACCCACCGCCTTTCTTGGGTCCTTGAACTGAACCCTGCTGCCCATTAGCGAAGGGAGAGGGGGACGGCAGTGTGGAGACTGGGTCTCGTGCACCGCCGTCCTCACCCTCTTGGGACCCGGAGGCAAAGGAAACTGCTCTTTTATTGAAGTTTTGGGTACCACTGGCTACCCCAGTGGCAGAACAAAAACAAACGGGAACATAAGATTCTCCACCCGGCCCTCCTCCGGGGGAAGGAGTGGTGCGGTCACCATCTCCTGAAGAGCAGGATCCAAGAGCTCCGGGTCGCCTGTCTCAGGGACGTCGCCTGCCCTGGCGCTTCACGGGCTTGGCAGGGGCGGAGGCGGGCTGCGCCAGTTTCATGCGGCCAGCTCCATGCTGCGGCCGTTGTGAAGGCTGCTGTTATGGCCGCGCCAGAGCGGAGGTGGAGGCCGCCCTCAGCGACGAGCAGACAGAGGGGCTGCAGCCGGCGGTGGGGTGGAGACAGCAGCATACCGCCGGGGGAAAAGATATGTCGAAACGTCTCTGTCTGCTTCTGCACGGCGGAGAACTGTTGGGCACAGCCCTCCACCGCTTCGCTGAATAAGCCGGCCTGGGAGATCGGGGAGTCCAGGAAGCGATGCTTGTCGGCCTCCCTCATATCCGCCAAGGTCAGCCATAGGTGGCGCTCCTGGACCACCAATGTGGACATCGTCTGACCCAGGACCCGCGCCGTGACTTTCGTCGCCCTAAGCACGAGGTCCGTCGCTGTGCGCAGTTCCTGCAGCACACCTGGGTCAGCACCACCCTCGTCGGGGAGTCCAGGAAGCGATGCTTGTCGGGCTTCCTCATATCCGCCAAGGTCAGCCATAGGTGGCGCTCCTGGACCACCAATGTGGACATCGTCTGACCCAGGGCCTGCGCCGTGACTTTCGTCGCCCTAAGCGCGAGGTCCGTCGCGGTGCGCAGTTCCTGCAGCACACCTGAGTCAGCACCACCCTCGTGCAACTGCTTCAACGCCTTGGCCTGGTGGACTTGCAGGAGGGCCATGGCGTGCAGGGCGGAAGCGGCCTGTCCAGCAGCACTGTAAGCCTTAGCCGTCAGAGCGGACGAGAACTTACAGGCCCTGGACGGAAGGCGGGGACTACCTCTCCAGGCAGCGGCGCTTTGCGGGTAGAGCTGCATAGCAATAGCGCGCTCGACGAGGCCCACATACCCTTGGGCCGCCCCACCGTCGAGGGGGGTGAGGACGGAGGAGGCACCGAGTCTGTTTCGGGCAGAAAAATTTGCCTTCCAAGACTTAGTAACCTCCTCATGCACTTCCGGGTAGAATGGAACCGGAGGTGGCTGCCGACGCTCGGGCAACGCCACTCTTCCTGACAGAGGCAGCGCAGCCGAATCCTCATCTCCAGAGCCTAGCTCGCCCTCCGATGCAGAGATCATCCGCCTGTCCTCCGCACAAGATGCTGGACCCTGCCCTGTCCGAGGACCCAACACACTCGTCTGGGAACACCAGGTGGTGCGACATGTCAGAGGAATGAGAGACCCGCGGAGACGTACTCGATGGGGAAGCTCTCACCGTGATTCTCAGGTCTCCCTGACCATGAACCGAAGTAGCCCTCCGACCAGAGGAGCTAGAGCGGGGCATGGCAAGGGGGATACCCCCCCATTTAATGAGGAGGTATCTAGACCGCAACGTCGCGATGGTCATGTTCCCGCACTGAGAACATGACTCATCCATGAGCGCTGCTTCAGCGTGCTGTAAGCCCAGGCACGAGACGCAGCGATCATGACCATCAGATGAAGCCAGGAAGCGACCACATCCAGAAACGAACGAGCGGGAAGCCATCTTTAAAAAGAGGCCCGTCGCTCGTGAAGCTCTTTTAGAAATTGTATCTTTTTTGAGAAGGAAAAACACTCTTTTAGGAAGGGGATTGGGCTCTCGGGCGAGATCACAAATTTGTCAGTCACGACTAACGTAACGTTGAACGTGACTGACTGAAAGGGAACTGTAAAGTTGCAAAGACTAAAGTCTCAAATCCAAAGAGATGTTCTTTATAAAAGTTAAGAGTTAACCACGCCTACCTAAAACGGCTCGTTCCAACACGCCCCCCCATATCTACCTCACTGTGGGGGAAGGTTTGCATAATGCCGCCCAAATGTTCACGCAAAGAAAGAAGGCGTACCTTTTATTCTCGCTGTAGTATTGTTGTTGCTGCTGCTGTCATGTCGTGAAGGCGCTGTGTGTTTCGTTGTGAAAGCGAAACTACTTTGTTTGGTCTTCCAAAAGAGGACGATATCGTAAGCGGAGTCCAGCCCGGGGTCGACACATGTGGTTGCCACAAGCCCGCCGGACACTCCTTCGTCAAATCCGCCAGCCGTGCCGTTCTCAAGCCCGCCGGCTGTTCCTCATTCTAGCCCGCCGTGTGTAACCCTGTGTTTCATTGTGAAAGCGAAACTACTTTGTTTGGTCTTCCAAAAGAGGACACGACTAGAAATCAGTGGTTAAGTTGTATTTACAACACTGTTCCAGAACACTTCAACCCAAATATTTATTTGTGTGCGGACTTGTGGAGGACTGTTTCCTGATCCTGGTAGAGTAGACTACAATGCCGGCTGTTCTGACTCAAAGACTGTAAGAACGTTTGTTTATATTTAGAGGATTTGCTACTGATGATTCAAACGCGAGTAGAGTAGCACTTGTTTGTCATTTCTCCGATCACAAATGCAGACATGGTTTTATGTTTACGCGGCGCGACGCAACGAAACGTGTAAAAAGACAGTATAAGTCATTATAATCTGTAATTATGTCCCCACTGGATGCAACAAATGCCTCGTTTATAATGGGTTTTAATGTTTTTGTCTCGTCGCTCCGGCCGGACAGGGCATTACAGTATGGTAAGGGGCGTAACATTTCCGTCACACGTCTAGGTATTCGGCCAATCACAACGCACTGGATAGCTGGCCAACCACAGCACACCTTGTTTTTCAGAACGATAAGCTTTGTAAAAATTGACGCGTTTCAGAAAGGCGGGGCATAGAGGAGAAACAATAATGTACAGTATGTGGAAAATAATGTGTTTTTTAAACTTTAAACCACATAAACACATTTCATTACACCAAATACACAAAATAATGTTATTTTTAGCAACATCATATGACCCCTTTAAAGGCTGCCGTACCTTCTTTCTTGTCTTTTCTACGTCTGCGGCCGTATCGCTTCCAGAAATGACGCCTCCCTTTGCCTCTTTCTTTCAGGGCTGCTTTAGAGTCAGCAATCCAGGTGTGGTACACAAACTACAGAGCATCAATTTGAATTAATTTATTAATGCAGTGTTTAAATATAGTGTTGCATGTGGACGTCAACACATAAACATGTCGCACATTCAGCCATTTCAGGAAGCCAGTTGAAATTTAACTCATGATTCAAATTTGCCCACAACATACATACAGTACATTGCATTTTTGTTTTAGACCATGAATTTGTATTTTAACCCCTGAGAAGGCTGAATTTGACTGAAACCGGATAAACAAGCACATCCACCACACAATACCCACACTGAATACAAACAACTATTTTCCATACAAATTTTCCAAATCTTTGAGTTGTATATACATGTATATTGAGGTGTATTTATTCAGTTATTGGACTGAGTTGTTTGAATCCAGGTTACACAAGAAAATGGAAAGACAGTAAATGTTTTCTGCTCCACTAATATCAGAATGATTCACACTCAGTGTGAACGCTGAGTGTAAAATGCTTTGATGTTTTTTTTGTGTGGTCATTTCTCAAATGCAGTGGAGCAAATCACATCATTTACAAGCAAATAAAAAAACCTTTAAAGTAAATAAACAGAAAAGACACAACGAAATGACTTAAAATAAAAGTACTGTCCCAAAAAAACACCACATGAAACAATGAAAAACACTCGAATGAAATAATTTCCATTCCATGCATCCTTGAAGGAGTTATATTTTACCATTTCATATTTTTACAAATTACACAACTGGAACAACATGGAATGGAAATCTTACAATAAAACACCATCAACAAACACAGAGATGGAAACACAGATGACACGTTCCCCGTGGAGGTACCTTGGCCGCCCTGATTAAATACTGCAGAACAGTTTTGGGCAGTTTAATGACAGATCTGGGTAAAGCCACGAGGGCCGAAGCAAACTTTCTGATCGCTTGCTGAGAGGAGAAAAACCAGGAGAAAGTCACAACATTAGTGTCCTGAAGCCCTTCAAACAGTCACAGCACTATACGACACAACACATGAACAAAAACAGATGGATAAACCAATGCAACAGATGCTCTGGGAAACAACATTGTGAAATGTTGGAATTATTTTAAGAGAAGAAGATGCACAAATGATGGATGTTGGTATTTGATTGGTTTTTGACCAAAGTTGTAAATAACGATTATTAGAGTATGTGTTGCAAGAAAGTCTTTCTACTTCAAAATTTCACATTTAATTCAATGTGTTACTGGCAACTTTTTTTTTTACTAACAATTTCTGAGTGAAAATTGTTTCTACACCATTTTTTTTCAGTGTAGGAAAGAAAAATCACAAATGAAATCTCTTTAATATTTCAACGGTTCCTCCTAGACAGCAATGAGATTAAATGGAGATCAACAGGAGACTTTGATCAGCTGAAGTCTCCAGCTTCTCAGATGTTTCTCCTGAGAAAAACACCCCAGTAATCTCACATGTGTCTCCTCTAGAGTTTCAGAAGAGATCTCAACAGTGGCTCAAATGTGCTCAGATTTGTGAAGATATAACGTCTGCTATCAAAAGTCAGAGATCTCAACATGAACTTTTCTCATCAAATGACCTGAGCTCATTCATTTTGTAGCTCTATGCTCTTACTGATGACAACTATTGACTCTATTTGTGTTTATTTTTACTTCTAATTTTAGGCAAAACATCTGTGACAATGCCCATTTTTCAATCAAGTTCTGTCCTACAGTTTTTCTCCACTGAATTTTCTTTTTGATTTATTTTTTCTGATGTAAAATGCTGTGTGCAAACACGGTTTCATCTTTACTACATCAGGGCAACATCTGTGCAATAACAATTTCCTCCAGGAGAAACTTCTTAACTCTATATAAAACCTACAGCATCACATTTGATAAGCAAATTTCGAAGTAATGTAAAATATTTGCTAAAAAAAAAACCTCACACAATCTACTCCATGCGTATTGGAGCCATAAAGCTCTTTTAGTGTAATTGTACAAACGATCACCTTCAGCTCGAGCTTCACGTGTCTTTTGCGGTCAAATTTTTAATGATTTTTATAAAGTAAACATAAGAATAACTTTGATATTGTTAGCGATTTTTCAAGATGAACACTTTACAATTTACTTGATTCTCCATAAAAGTCATGTTAAACTTGAGTCTCACATTGATCATCAGGCTTATGAGGAACGTTTATTTGTTCATCTCTCAGTCATCCTTGTATTGCTTTATATATTTTGAAAATACAGAGTTTTGATCAAAGCATTTAAATATCATCTTACTAAGACATATTGGGAGATATAGAATGACAACTGATATTTATATAATTTTAAGTAAGTAGTCTGTTATACTGTTATAAAGATCTCATTAATTTACAAGCACCAGAATTTCATACTTTTTGCTTTTTGTCCATATAAATATCAGCATCTGCACCAAATGACATATTTTTTATCCATATTCTCACTATAACATACTGTAAAAGCCTGATGTATCAAAAACATACAAAACAGAAAACACATATGCAAACTTGTGAAGTTAGAAGTTTAAACAAGTTTGACTCCAGAGAAGTTCAATCCGACCAGCAGCACTTCACTCACCTGGAAGGCTGACCTCTTGGGCTGTTCTTCATCTTTCTTCTCCTCCTCTTCCTCCTCCTCTTCACTGTCAGTTTCAAACAGGTAATAATCACCACTTCTAACCACTGAGAGAGGAACGGAGGAGAGCGTTGAGCAAGAACAAGCACATCAAATCGGAACAAGAGAATAACACGTTTTTGATTATTCATATATGTGACCCTGCAGCACAAAAGCAGTCTTAAGTCGCTGGGGTATATTTGTAGCAATAGTCAAAAATACATTGTATGGGTCAAAATTATCGATTTTTCTAGAATATTAAGTAAAGATCATGTTCCATGAAGATATTTTGTAAATTTCCTACCGTAAATATTTCAAAACTTAATTTTTGATTAGTAATATGCATAGCTAAGAACTTCATTAGGACAACTTTAAAGGCGATTTTCTCAATATTTAGATTTTTTTGCACCCTCAGATTTTCAAATAGTTGTATCTCAGCCAAATATTGTCCTATCCTAACAAACCATACATCAATGGAAAGCTTATTTATCAGCTTTCAGATGATGTATAAATCTCAATTTCGAAAAATCGACACTTAAGACTGGTTTTGTGGTCCAGGGTCATATATATATATATCTAAATAAAATAAAGGTTGAAAACATTTTGAAAGTTTTTGCACATCCCTACACAGCACTTGAGAAAATCCCAATGAATCTTGTGACCAAACTTACCTGAATCTCTAAATCAAAAAAACAGTTAAACTACAAACCCAATTCCAAAAAAGTTGGGACACTGTCAAAAAACGAAAACAACAAAATGAAAATAAAACTACACTCATTTTGTATCTCTAGTTGGGTTAGTTTGTTATCTGACAGCTCAGAAACACCTCTGTGTCTGCAGTTTCACAATCGCATGGCAAAACAGGATTTGGAGAAGAAAACTGCCTTGTGTCCTTGAACAGAAGAGCTGCAGTGGAGGGGGAGGACAGGGAGGATGCTGGGAAAACATTTCAACACTTATTTGAGGGCCTGAGATTTACAAAACCAAATTACGGCCCTAAAAATCTCCAAAAAATATCACAATTTCTAAAGTGATTAGTGTCTCTCATTAAAAAAAAAAAACCTACAATGGTGATACCATGGTTTTCAGACATGGTACCACAGTAATAGCATGGCTTTTTGGACAGGATCATGATAATAATACTATGGTATCCTTTGCAGTACATGTAAATACCATAGTAAATGAATATGGCAACCATATTCAATCATGTACCATGGTATTACCGTCTGATACAATCACTGTACCATGGTACCACCACAGTATGTTTGTGTATGGCAGGTTTTCCTTAATAGTCAGTATTCTAATCACTATATAAAACAGATATCGATGTTTAAAGAAGGTTTACAGTGAAGTCAGATCTCATGTGCTTCAGTATCACGCTGATAACTGAGATCAGCTCATCAAAGAAGACAAAGTAAATACCATCTCACTCATTTCACACCGTAGAGTTTGACGGTATTTCTTTTGCTTTTTGATGCTTTTCTGTTGAGCACTTTCTTTTTCTGATAAAGAGATAAAGAGAGGGACCATAAACATCTAGTTTATAAAGTTATGTCACCCAAAAATGAGCATTTCCTGACCCTCTTGTAACTCAAACGATTCTTCCCCCTGGAATACTATGAAAGTTGATTTGGCAAAGTTTTCCATCTTACTGAAGAATTATTTTGCCTTGTAATCTGCGTATTATTCTGTTTACTCCGCTGTTCAAATGATCAGGGTCGGTAAGATGTTTTTAAAGTTTGTGAAAGAAGTCTCTCTTGCTTACTGAGGCTTCATTTATTTGAATAAAAATATAGTAAAAACAGTATAAAATTGTGGAATATTATTACAATTTAAAAGAACTGTTTTCTATTCGAATATCATTTCAAATATAATTTATTCCTGTCATGTCAAAGCTGAATTTTCCGAATGTTGAAAATAGTCATGCTGCTTCATATTTTTGTGGAAACCATGATACATTTTTTTTTTCAGGATTCTTTGATGAATAGAAAGTTCAAAGAAGCAGCATTTATTTGAAATAGAAATCATTTGTAACATTATAAATGTCTTTGCTGTCACTTTTGATTAATTTAATTCAGAAAGGATGCACTGAATAAAAATATTAATTTTGTAAAAAAAAAAACATAACACCGTGAACATTCTGCTAAATAACTCCTTAAAACATTCCATTGAAGAAAAAAAAACAAACAAACAGCATTTTCATTTATGGATGAATTACTCTTATAAAACCAAAGCAGCTCACATTGATTCTTATATTATATTATTATATGGTATAAATCTCTCTCTCTTTTCTACGACAGTGTTTCTAGAGGACTTTAATAAAGCAGAGTGATTCTCTACTGTACGTCTCCGTTCACCTGCTCATACACTCTTAAAAATGCTAGGTTGTTTCAACCCAACTTTGGGTAAAATATGGACTAACCCAGCTGTTGGATTAAAATTTTAAATTACATTTTTAACCCAAAAGTTGGGTTTGTCCATATTTGACCCAAAGTTGGGTTGAAACAACCCAGCATTTTTAAGAGTGTACGGTCACATGACAACAAACCAGAACCATCCAGACATTCAGCTTTTCCTCCAGCAGCTGTATAGATCTATTTAAGGCATCAAATCAATGTCATTTGTAGAATAATTCAGAATAGAATAAGTCATAATTTAGTTTTACACTTTAAAAGATCAAGGAACATGTGATTCCTGATGAAATGCCTGCTTTAAAGTATCTACCACTGGTACTTAATACTCTTTGTACATTCATAAGGCAGACGGCCTTAAATAGATGTAGAAAAGTCTGAGGTCTGGATGGAGTCTGACGGAGTCCAGGTGCAGTATGGGAATCCTCTGACTTCTGGTCAAGGACACAAGGATCAGTGAGATCAGAGGAAGGTATGAGGAACCTACTGGACGCATGGTCAACCCAAGGCCTCCACCACTGCTTTTTTTGCACCTTGTTTTTCTTTCTCTCTGCAAATGAAATGTCAGAGTGTTAATGAAAGCACGCCAGAGGTGACGGTGATATTGGAAATGAAACCTTTTCCTGGTTGCTTTATGGAAAATGTGAATAATATGCAGTTAAATACATACATATAAGAACGCTAAACATGTTTATTTACTGTTCTGTTGGTGAAGTTCCTAAGAAAGGACACTATTTTATCACTATTACACTCTCCTACTGTCGTGATCTACATCATACCATCATCATCATCGTTGTCGTCGGGCTGGATGAGTTTCTGCTCGTCTCCAGACTCCTGAGCCATACTGAGCATCTTCTCCTTTCCTCTCTTGAACTTCTGCTGTCGCGTCTTAATATGATCCATCCTAAATGAATGTATTCATGGTAGTGAGAGAAATCATTCACAGCACACATAACAATAATCCAATTAAATATCCCATGTCCATTGTTGTAATATATGCTACTGTTTAAAAGTCTGGGATGTTTTAATGTAAAAAGAAGTCTCTTCTGCTCATCAAGCCTTTATCATACATACAGTAAGAACAGTAATATTGTGAAAAATTATTCTGATTTAAAATAACTGTTTTCTATTGTAATATATTGTCAAATGTAATGTATTTCTGTGATCAAAGCTGAATTTTCAGCATCATTACTTCAGTCTTCAGTGTCACATGATCTTCAGAAATCATTCTAATATGCTGATGTGCTGCTCAAGAAACATTTCTGATTATTTTCAATATTGAAAACATTTAAAAAAAAAAAATCAGGATTCTTTGATGAACAGAAAGCTCAAAAGAACAGCATTTATTTGAAATAGAATCTTTTGTTACATTATAAATATTTTTACTGTCACTTTTGATTAATTTAATTTTAGTTAAAAAAAACTACACTACACTATTTCACATAACTCATGAAATCAAGAAACACTAAAGACAAACACAAAGATCACGGCACATGAATGAAAGGATGTTTCTCACTGTCTCTTCAGCTGCTCCATGGATCTCTTCTCCTCCTCCAGACGAGCTCTCACAGCCTTCACAATGCTGGCCTGAAACAGCTCTGCTCCGCTGACAGACAGACAGACAATACTCAACTATATTGGACTGGACTGACATTTAGACTCACTCTACTACATGCTATAAATGACACATTTACAGTATGTTCTTAGTCCATACTTAAAAATCAAGTGTTCTTATATTTGAAATATAATTAAGCTTTTTTCTGCTGTGGAATAAAAATATAAAAAAGTTTTTTGCAAGCTGCATTTTTTTACTTCCAATTTCTGACTTTTTTCCTTTAGAATTCTGAGGTTACATCTCATAATTTCGACCCTTTTTTCTCTCCGAATTTTGAGTTTACATCTCGCAATTTTGTCTTTTTTTCTCGCAATTCTGACTTTTTTACCAAAGAATTCTGAGTTTACATCTCGCATTTCATACGTTTTTCTAAGAATTGTTTACATCTCACAATTCAGACTTTTCTTAGAACAGTTTATATCTCACAATTCTGATGTCTTTTTCTCACAATTGCGAGTTTATATATTGTAATTCTGACATTTTTTCTCAGAATTATAAGGAAAAACTCTGAATTGTGAGATAAAAAGACACGGCAGAAATAAGTTTCCATAGAAATGTTCTTCAAACTGCAAATATAAAATTATCCCTCAAACAAAAACTTAAAGGGGTCATCGGACCCAAATTGGGTTGATTCTTTAGGGTCTTAATGAAAAGTCTGTAACATAGTTTGGTTAAAATTTCTCAATGGTAGTGTAAAAAACACCCTTTTTACCCTGTCAAAAACAGCTCTTTTCAGAGCAAGCCGTTTTGTAGCATTTTCCTTTAAATGTTAATGAGTTCTGCTGACCCCGCCCCTCTCTTCCGAGCCGCTCTCTAAGGAAATGTTTACTTTAGCCGCATTCATCGTGAAACTTTAGCACATTATTAGGAAAGGCGATTTGCAAAGATTCATTAAAGGGGTCATATGATGCTATTTAAATTTTTCCTTTCTCTTTGGAGTGTTACTTCTTGTCCAGGCCCTTGTCATCTCTAGGCTGGACTACTGCAATGCTCTTCTGGCTGGACTCCCATCAAGCACAATCAAACCTCTACAAATGATTCAGAATGCAGCGGCACGACTGGTCTTCAACGAGCCCAAAAGAGCCCATGTTACGCCTCTCTTTATCTCCTTGCACTGGCTACCGGTATGTATAATGTAAAATGTATCTCTCTTTATTTATTCCTTCTCTTTCTAGCTTGTACTTATTTGAACAATGTCTAAGAACTTGGTATTACAACCACTTCTCGTGTCTGTTTGCCTCTTTAAGAAGAATCGCTTTATGTATCCCCCAATTGTAAGTCGCTTTGGATAAAAGCGTCTGCTAAATGACTAAATGTAAATGTAAATGTTCATTATTACATCCAACAACAGAACACCTCAATCGCTTAGGAGTCATTCTTGTCTACATCTGCTCCGGTGGTGAAACAATGGCGGACTGATGACAGCTCACTCAGGGCGGGTCTAAGGTAAGACACGAGTCCAGTCTGTGCTGAAACGCTACTGTCAATCAAACTATCGTGGGAGGGGCCTGTCTGTGTGTGCATCTGAGATCGGCTCGATTTGAGAAAGGGGTAAAGGTTTTAGTAGATTCAAAAGAAACACTGGGTGGATTTTTATCATTATAGGGTGGTTGTGTACACACACTGCCAACACACATTTCAGTTTAAACAACTTGTAAAAGTGCATGTAGCATCGGATGACCCCTTTAAAAGTAAACATGAAAACCAATCTGTGTAAACGTATGTAAACATGTGGTACCGAGATGCGAGAATCTGGCCGGCGCGGATGTCTGCGACCACATGCAGGAAGTAGTAGCTCATGAAAACGCGTCTCTGCAGCAGGAGGAACGTGAAGCAGATGCTGTCCCAGATGATTCCGGCCTCATCCTTCGGCACTTCACATCCTTTTACGGACACGCCTGAAGACACACGAAAAACATTTAAAGTCATCAGATATTTTTATATTGAAATATATTTGTAATAAATAGTTTGTGGACAGCACTTCGGTTAATTGCAATGCAGCACCTTTTTTTGTGAGACAGATACTCTGGTGTCTTTGAAAGCACACACATAGGCTGCCTACTTTTTTTCAGCTCACAATATGTGTATATAACATAACAAAGATTAGAAACCAGAATGTTGGCGAAATGCAACCCTTCTTTACCTTCTAGAGCTTTGTATTCTTTTATGGTGCAGGAAAGACTGAGCAGCTGAACCAACCAGCAGCTATTCTTCACCAAATGCTTGATATAACCACACGCCAAAATCTGTGAAAAAATGAAGAAAAAAACTGCATGTTATTTACTAATCTTTTAATTTATTGCTTCACTCATTTTCTCTGCTTATGCATTTATTAGCCCCTTCAAGAGATTAAAATAATTAATCATGATTAATCTTAATAGTTAACACAATAAATCCTAAATATTTAATTCACTGCAATTTGCCTCCAAATATGTTTCTTGCTTTCATAATTTTAAAGAATTTGATTCCCATTTTAACTAAATAAAATAAAGACATTTCATTGATGTAATTTTGTTTATTAAATACTAAATAATATGTAACAAAGATGCTTCATTGAAGTCACATTTTTATTTTATTCAACTTTACTAAAACACTACTTCATATGATAATTAAATACTACTGTGCTTGTAGAGTATGTAAAATAATAAATCATGATTAGTCATGATTTTTGGTAGCTGACGTGATTAATATTTAAATATTTAAATTTGCCTCCAAATATGCTTATTGCTTTCAAAATGTAGCGCAGTCAACTTTAAAGCATGATTCATGTTAAATAAAATAATATAATATATAATATGTAATTATGTACATATATTATCATATGATAATTAGATGCTAAATGTAGAGTATATACTGTAAAAAAAAAGAATAAAATATGCTGACTTTGGATGTTCTTATTTATCTACACAATAAATAAATAAATAAATAACTGCAAACTGTAAATTTATGCATTTCTTTAAGGTATTGGACACTCACAGCAAACACGTTCTTCATTGTGATGACGAAAACATTGTAAGCTATGAGGAAATCCCAGTAACGGAGGATCTTCTTGATTGGCTTGAGCAAGAGATCACCACCGAAGAGCAGAAAGTAAAAACACGCCACCAGGTAACCCATGCAGAAGATGCTGATCCGAGTTGTGCCCGTGATGAAGATGATGGTCAGGACGAACCAGAACAGGTAGCTAAACTTGATCACCTTCAGCATGTCCAGGTACGACCTGAGAGAAGGAAATAACATTAACATGAGAGCAACCTTTAACTGACATCGGTCTAATTATCTCTCCAAACGGGATGCACTGACACTACATTTCTCAGCTGATGCCGATAGCCGGTTATTCAGAATAAACTATTTGACTTAATTAAAAAGCTAGCAGAGGAGAAAGTATTTTAACAGTTACTAAAACATTATTTTATAAGACGATTATACGACAAATGTAGAGCATATGAAATAAAGGCTTTAAAGGGGTCATATGATGCGATTTCAAGTTTTCCTTTCTCTTTGGAGTGTTACAAGCTGTTCGTGAATAGATAAGAGCCCTAAAGTGGCAAAGACTAAAGTCTCAAACCCAAAGAGATATTCTTTATAAAAGTTAAGACTCGTCCTAAAACGCCTAGTTTAAACATGCCTCCACATGTCTACGTCACTATGTGGGAAGATTTGCATAACGCCGCCCAAATGTTCACGCAAAGAAAGAAGGCGTAATTTTTATTCTCGCTGTAGTATTGTTGCCGCCGCCGCCATGTCGTGAAGACGCTGTGTGCTTCATTGTGAAAGCGAAACTACTTTGTTTGATCTTCCAAAAGAGGACACGACTAGAAATCAGTGGGTAAGTTGTATTTACAACACTGTTCCAGAACAGTTCAACCCAAATATTCAGATGTGTGCAGCGCATTTTATGGAGAACGAGGACTGTTTCCTGGGAGAGTAGCCTACAATGCCGGCGTTCTGACAAATAATGCTGACTCACATCCTGTAAATACGTTTTCATATTTAAAGGATTTGCCACTGATGATTCAAATGTGAGTTTTGAGCAGTGTAGAGTAGGGCTTGTTGTTTGTCGTTTCTCCGATCACAAATGCAGACATGGTTTTATGTTTACACGGCGCGATGCAACGCGTAAAAAGACAGTGCAAGTCATTATAATCTGTAATTATGTCCCCACTGGATGCAACAAATGCCTC